TGGCCCTATCCACCTCATAGAAGGGATTTGAGGATCAAATAATGAAAAATAATCAGAGGAAATAGAGAGAGACAGAGAGAGAGAGAGGGAGAGGGAGAAAATGTAATTCGTTCCTATGGATGCTGAAGCTATTCGGTATGTCTTACAACTTTTTTGTGTGTGTGCAAATGAATTTTTCTTTAATGAATATAGCAGTGTATGGCATTTTTGTTTGTTTGTTTATTTTTCATTTTAAAAATTGTCCTTCCTTGCAGCAAAATATGGGTAGTCTGTGTTGATTTCCATTTATTTTTTCTTTTTGAAATTTTATTGGTGTATGGAATCCAGAAGTTTGGAAAAGTGTTCTATGTAGGGCAATTCCAAACAAAATTCATTATTATTCAGTTTCATTCAACAAACTTTTACTGAGCATCATTAGTCTGGCATTCTTGAATTACCTTCACATTTGTAAGCTTTATTTTCCAGCAAAGTATCTGATCCTTGGGGGCATAAGAACCTCTTGAGCTTCTTCACTATTTCTCAAGGAGCTGAACTAGCTGTGGTGAGCGCACGGTAGACATTCCAAAATGACTGCATCAGATAATGGTCTACACTTGTTTTTGTACAGAAATGACCGTGAGTCACTGTCTGGAACTTGTCCTCAGAATTGTGAATGTTAAGCCTTTGGGCCATTTCTCCTCGGTCTCCTGGGGGGCTCTTCTTCCTTGCCAAGGGTCTCAGGAACACAGTGTAGACTCCTTTTTCTTTAATGTCACTGTCAGTTACTCAGACCTCTAGTATTCTCTGCCCACTCCACCAGTTATGCTGTGTACTGGGACAGAGTCTTCCTACTTTCCTCTTTTCTGTTCGTAAGAAAAACACATGGGCTCATTTCATTTTGAATTTATTACTAATCACTCACAATAATGAGGCTATGGGATGACAAAAATGGCAAACTCAATCAAGTTACGAAGTTTAAGAAATCTTATTGAGTTCTGTCAGGCATGGTTCCTGACTTCATGAAAGAAATGCTAACTAGGAGTCCCAACTTTCATTTCTTAAGGTGAATTTCCTCAAAAATCCTATGAAGGAAATAAAATTAACATTAATTAAGTTAATTTAGGTGCTATAGTAGGCTGAATAATGACCACCCAAATACATCAGGTCCTCATCCCAGGAACCTGTAAATATTACATTATAAGGAAAAAGGGGCTTTGCAGATGTGATTAAATTAAGGATCTTGCCATGGGAGATTATTTTGGATTATTGGAGGGGGATGCCTAAATATAATCAGAAGTGTCCTTAGAAGAGAGAGGCAGAGGGTGACTTGACATACACACAGATAAGAGAAGGCAAGGTAACTGTGGAGGCAGAGATTGGAGTGAGGCAGCCACAAGTCAAGGTAGGCCCGCAGCCACTGGGATGGGGAAGGGGCTGGGAGCAGATTCTCCCTTAGAATCTCAGGAGGGAGTGTGGTTCTGTCAACACCTTAATTTTGACCCAATGATCTGATTTCAGACTTCTGGCTTCCAGAACTGTGAGAGAATAAATTTCTGTTGTTCTAAGCCACGAAATTTGTGATAATTTGTTACTGCAGCCTCAGGAAGCTAATCTAGGTGCCCACTTGTCTCAACTGCATATCCTATGATCTATGGCATAGGTGACACCTATATCAAGGGGTCCTTGCCCTATTTGTCCTTTTCTGTTAGTTAATTATCAAGCTGAGTAGAAACTTTTCTTACATCACTGGAAAGTTACACTTGAGAAACTGGACTTTGAGAGAGGCACAGAAAGGGATAATATACTTAACTAGTATTTATTCATTTAGTAAATATTCTGTAAGTTCTTGTTATGTATCAATCTTTGTCCTAAGTCCTGGAGTAAAAACTGAATCAGACAGGATCCTTCTCGAGGAGGTTATTTGATGAGGGGAATTAGACACACACACATACAATTAAATTAATATGTGGCAAATGCGGTAATGATCATGTGCATGGAGTTTTATGAACACATCGAAGAGCACATAGACTACAGGATGAGTCCCTGTGAGCACGGTGAGAGAGTTTGGAAAAGCTTCATGGCGAAGGTGTGCCTCTGAGCTGACACATAAAGGAGCAGAGTAATAAAGCAGGCCAAAGGGTAAACTATGATCAAATTTTCCCCATGAATTTCATATTTTGAAGGACACTGTCTTCCAAAAAAGAAAGCTTCTGTGTTTACTAAGTAATAAATAATAGATCAAGAACATCTCTAACTGCCAAGCAGAGGTCATAATCAGCATAGGATGGTCACTACCATCTTAACATTATTTCAGCCAAGAGCAAAGGTATTTATCATTTGATTTTTTCCTGTGAAGTCTTTTCTGGTAAAAGAGTGCTTTTTTTTCATTATGATTTTTGGAATACCACTATAGCTACAGAAATCTTTCCACATTACTTTCAAGGACAACCTTTCTTATAGTGGGAAAGACAGTAACTACTTGCACTAAACAATCTGGCCTAGAGAAAATTATATTGAAAAGAACCTCATTAATGAGAGTTCCTGCATAACATGGCACTAGCTCTATCCCCTGGGGCTAGCTTGCAGTATTGTTTCATTGTAAGATAACATAAACAGTCAGATCCTGGGCCCCTTTTACAGAGCTCCTACAAAATAATAGTGATAAATATAATAATCAACATTTGTATAGCTTGTATAGTGTTCTATCATCTTACAAAAGGTTTTACAAAAGTATCTGATTATGGAGTGTTTGAACCGTAAGCAGATCCTGTTTTGCCATCTCAGGTAAGTTTCTTTTCTGGTCCTTTCTTTTTTTCATCTTTATTGTGATGTTCTTATTCTTCCAGTTCACATAATATTTTTCCATCTTTATTAAGATATAATTGACATATAACGCTGTGTAAGTTTAAAGTGTACACGTAGATTTGATACGCTTATATATTGTGAAATGATTACCATCCTAGCTTTAGATAACACCTGCATCACCTCACGTGGTTACCGTTTCTTTTTTGTGATGAGAACATCTAAGATCTACTCTCTTAGCAACTTTCAGGTACATAATACAATATCGTTAACTATAATCACCATGCTGTACATTAGATCTCCAGCACACATTCATTTTATAACTGGAAGTCTGTACTCTTTAACCGACATCTGTCCATTTCCCCCATCACCTCAGGCAAGGTTCTTAATCTCTTTTAGCTACAGTTTCCTCATCTCTAAAGTAGGGGCACTGACATCCACATGGAGAGCTACTATGAGAATTAAGCGAGATTTTGTGTGTGAAGTACCAGGGACAGTGGCTGACACATAGTAGGTACATAGTAAGAGCTGAATCCATTATTTTTGCCTTTTTTTTCCTGGAAGTAGCTGAAATTTTAAAAAATTGTTTTAATTCTATTATTCTGCAATTGCTTCACTCCTCTCAACTCATGATAAGAACCAACCCATTTTGCCAGGCCCTCTCCGCCTCCCCTCTGTTGAGATTATACCTCTAGGAGTACCAGTGTGTCCCAGAAGGTGACATGTCTTCAGTGATGACACTCCTTGGGTTCGCCGTGTGCTCTTTTTCTGGTCCTTTAGGTGTCACAGGGTTAATAAGAACAGAGTGTTATTTATAAACAATATGCTCCCTAACCCCAGAAAGATTTGAGGCAGTTTTCAGGATTTGATCATGCATGAAACAGGAAAGTCATATATCAAAGAGAGATGACAGACCATTAGAGAACTTTGTCAAATGTAACTGGGATTTGATATGGATTTATTCAATTTTGAACTGAAGGTTGCAGTTATTGATCAGTTCATGAAATTAACTGAGATAAATACATTGCATGTAGTAAGGGAAGTAAGATTTTATGAAATTTTAGTTTTAATTATCTATTACGGTATGTGTTGCCAAATATATTTTGTTAAAAAAAAAGAGCTTGAAAGCCATGAGATTAGGTTACTAGTGGTTTTCTTTTTCTGCCACTTGTTAGCTGTTAAAGTTGGGAAAGTTCCTGAATAACAAACCTTTATCGAACGCTTATTTTGCTTTGGACATTCTTCTATATGAATGATTTTTGTCTCTTCAATACTGATATGGCGCAGTGTAGGATAGGTAGCCTGTGTCAATTCCACAATTTTCTCACCCTTCACCAGGCCTTTAGTACAAGTTTGAGAGGATTCCTATTACTAAACAAACTCTGACACAAGGTAGTAAAACGCACATTTTAAATAAAGTGAATCTGAGCTTCCCCAAAGCCCCTTAGAATTACGTCAGTCAGTTTTAACCATTAACCCCCTGGGCTCTTTTTGTTCAGAAGTTTCTTAAAAGCTGTGCATCAATGTGGGTTGGAGTAGGGATGGGGGACACAGAAGGAAGGGACAGAGGGAGGCTCTAGGTAAGGGTTGTGAGGGGGGCGTTTGTTTGAGGGTGGGATGAGTTGCTGAGGATGGGCGGGAGACCGGGGGCGCTAGTACACGAAAGGCTATTTCCGGCTCCAATTTCGTTACCAAGGATCCTTGAGTTGAACTTTTTTTGGGAAAAAGGACCAGTCCAAAGGAACTAGGTGTGTGTGGACGAGGGGGCGGTGAAGGTCCCCACTTTATGCTAAGTATCACTCTCCACATCTTTGTCGGTTTTCGCAGCTGGGCCGGCCGGGCGGAGGCTGCGGGGCCGCCTCCTCGTTCCCAGCCCAGGACATCCTGAACAGCGGCAGCCACAACAGGCTCGCCCCAGACAAAGGGGCCGGCGCGGCGGGCCGACTCGCAGCCCGGGCGGCGGGTTCGGGGAGCGCGCTCTCGCAGCGCGGGGTCGGGGCGGCCGCGTGGACCCGGCGCGGGCCGGAGACGCCGTGCCCGGGAGACCCGGCTCCGGGGCGCAGACCCCGCCCGGGCTGGCTCGGCGCCGGCCTCCGGGCTGCCACTCAGTCTTTGACCCTCCGTCCCCTCCCGGCCCCCCCGCAGGCTCACAACTGTAACCGCTGCCCCGGCCGCCGCCGCTCCTTCTCGGGCGGCCGGCGGAGAGCGCAGCGCGGCGGGGCCGGCGGCATGGCTGTGTCCTGGAGGAGCTGGCTGGCCAACGAAGGGGTTAAACACCTCTGCCTGGTAGGATGGCGGGCGACGCTCTCCCTGCGTTTTGTCTCTCGTGCAGCGATTTTGATTCATTCTCTGTGCGTGCGCGGGTGGGAAGCTGGAAGTGAAAGTTTTGCCTCTTATTCGAACATTCTCAACTAACAAGACTTTCCGCTGTTAATTCCTAGAGATAATAACGATCCCCCTTTCCTCCAAATGCATGAGAACTTTCCTACACACGGATGGGAGAGCGATGTGGAGGAAGGGAGAACAGATCACTTTTAGTGAACACAGCTTTTTCTTAACCCTTGTAACGTCTCCCCCCTTTGCTCTTTTCCCGGACTGCTTCTGTTTGATCTCGTATTTTAACAACATAGAACGCTTGGGACGTGGGGATGTCACTGATTTCTTAGTCTCCTTTTGTACTGCAGGGGATAGCTGCAGGTTATTTAGGAGACCTGTTTGCAACCCAAATGCTTAATCTCAGGTGCAGGGGCTGAGTGAGGTCAGATTTGTTTTCCTCTGAGTGGTTTTCAGCTTCCCGGTTAATTGAGAATGCTTTCTGCCATTGCTAATTGAGGTTCCATTGAAAGTATTGTGTCCAAGGAAGGTACTTGAGGTTTCCATTCATCAGGTAACGTTTATTTGTTTATTTTTAATTTTTGTGTTTCTCTCTCCCTTTGTATCATTTAGCTTATCTGGCTCTCCCTGAATGTCCTGCTTTTCTGGAAAACCTTCCTGCTGTATAACCAAGGGCCAGAGTATTACTACCTCCACCAGATGCTGGGGGTAAGTGGGTCTTGGGTGACCTGGTGGCCTGGGTCTAATGTGGGCAGACATTGCTACCGCTCCTGGTCAGTTCTTCCATTCATTAAAGAAACATTGGTTGTTCACTTTAGGAATATTTGTTATTCTCTAAAGTGGTTGAGATTTCTTGATTTATCGTTTATACTTTTCTGGGTTTAAATGATTGACTCTTTTAAGAACCAAAGATAATATCTGCTAAAGTGAAACGAATAGATCTGCCAGACCAGGCTAGTTGTTCCTGAGAAAAGTTGCTACTTGTCAGCTGCAAAGTGCCCTGAAGGATCTGCCTCACCAAGAGGACCAACTGATGACAGGCTGTTAGTTTTCGCTAATCAAGACTTCAGCCTGCCCATAAGCTTATCCAGAGAGGATTTCTGTGCTGTTTCCCTTTACTGTCAGTTCTCACTAAGGATCTGTCTAATGCAGTTATTCCTTTCTGGGCATTTCTCAACTGTTTGCCCTAGGTTAGTGGCTGATTATGGTTCCAGTGTTCTGGTCTAAGATGAGAATGATATTGTGCAAAACTTTGCTGTTGATATTTTTCTTTTCTCTATTCCGTGATATTTCTGATCTCATTCTTCCTCTCCATCCCCTTCCTGCTTGACTCCTTAACAAAAGACATCAGCACTGAGGACATCTTACTTTGTATAAGGAGACAGCGTTTTCCAAGCAACGAGTACAAAGTATAAAACACTGAAAAATCTTAGGCATCTGAAAAAGCAGATTTTGTCATTTTTTTTCATTGGGGAAGAAAACACATTCTAAATAGGAGATGCATTGTTTTCCTTTTCGTGATTTAATGACTATTTAAAATTATGATTAATTCAGATGAATTCAGTGAAACCAGCCTTCCATTTCTTGCTTTACATGTACAGATCTTTATTTTTACTTATCTTGAAACCACAGCTCCTAGAGTAGTGCTTGGCACATGTTAAGATTGCAATAAATTCAGGCTAAATTAATTAATTGATATTTTATTTTATATAATAAAGTACTATTTTTCATTACCTATTGTTCACACAATTGATATTTTTAATGTTTAACACCTATTTTTTATTTAGTTTTTTTAGAGCTGTTTAAGGTTCACTGTAAAACTGAGGGGAAGGGGCTGGCCCTGTGGCTTGGTGGTTAGGTGCGCGCGCTGCAATGCTGGTGGCCCGGGTTCAGATCCCGGGTGCACATCGATGCACCACTTCTCCGTCCATCCTGAGGCCGAGTCCCACATGCAGCAACTGGAAGGATATGCAGCTATGACATACAACTATCTACTGGGGCTTTGGGGGGAAAAAATAAAATAAATAAAATCTTTAAAAAAAAAAAAAAACTGAGGGGAAGGTACAGCAGATTTCCCATATGTTCCCCTGCCCCCACACATGAACAGCCTCCCCTCTTATCAACATCCTTCACCAGAGTGGTACATTTGTTACAATTGATGAACCTACATTGACACATCATAATCACCTAACATCTGTATTTTTAGCTAATGGATTGAGAAAAATAGTCTCAAAGATTAAACTCATTTTATTGGTAATTCTTAAATCTGAACATTTTTTTTCTTTCATCCACCCAACCTTCCATCCAGCCATCCAGCAAACTGTCATGAAATCTGTGCTTTTCAAATGGGCACATAGAGAGTAAGACCTTGCCCCTGCCCTAAATTGCTTACAATCTAATGGAAAATCCACTAAGTAAATACTTATAATTCAATATGCAAGTTGAGAAAGGTTTTCTGTAATAAACAAATGAAAGTCTGCTGGCCTATCATTTTAATTTTGTTTCCTAGAAATTCTCCCCTAGGTGTGAATTACTGAACATGAGGTTTTCAGTGGGAGATATATTTGACCTATTATATAACTTGGTAAACAACTTGGAGAAAAGTCTTGAGAGTTATGATGGTAAATTTTGCCGTCAAAAGGGGTAAATTTTGAGGGCCAAACCCTGTGGCTTAGTGGTTAAGTTCGACGTACTCCTGCTTGGTGGCCCAGGTTCGTTTCCTGGGTGTGGACCTACACCACTTGTCTGTCGGTGGCCATGCTGTGCAGCAGCTCACATACAAAAAGAGGAAAATTGGCAACACGTGTTAGGTCAGGGTGAATCTTCATCAGCAAATAAAAAAGGTATATGTTGATCAGGAGGTATTTGTATAATATAAAATCTAAGAATAGACAACTTGGAAAGCCGCACCTAAACTTTGGATTTTAGCTCTATGACACAGTATAAGCTAAAATAATAACTTATTCAAAAAATAATTATGTTGGAAACCAACAAGTTAATTTTTATGAGCTTGGATGCTGTGTTAACAACTTCATATTTATTTTGGTGACAAATCAGATATGATGAAGAATGTACACACACACACACACACACACATATATATAACCCAACTAATTAAAAAAAATTAAATATGTTTTGCCTCTCTCTACCAGAAAACATAAATCAGCTAGTGAGGTTCAGTGGTGAGGCCTGCAAAAGAGCTGACGCATACTAGGGACTCAATAAATACTGATCAGATGAATGAAGAATAAAATGATATAAGGACTAAATGGAAGATTACGAGTGAAAAGTGCAAGAAGCAGATTGAAGAGAGAGGTCATTGTAAGTTAGTTTTGATGGAAACATCAGAATGATCATAGTGAGTTGCACCTTAACCCACACAGTTGGCAGTCAACATTTTATGAAGAATCACTGTGGAGAGGAACAGTTTTTCTTCTTGGCATCAAGCTGAAAGATGAAAGATAACTTCCAAACTTCTCACTTTTCAGTAATCATCTATATGAATTTTCTAGTCATTAATTTATCTAAACCATTTTGGAATAGATATTTTCAGTCTGTTACTTTTTGGTGAAAAAGGAACTCTGTAGTTGTACTATTTGCTTTATGAAGGAGTATTTAATTTTATTTGTCCTAGGCTTATCTTTTCTAATCTTTTGATGATTATGGTATTGTTTCATAGTATAATAATTTGCAGACATTTTTCAAATTGCAAAGAAATACAGTGTAACAATGGGATATAATTAATTTTTAAATAAATAAAAATTTATTTATTAAATAAATAAAAAAATAAGTAAAAATCCTGATGGTATTTCTGGAAATGAATTTGATTGCTACCACTTTAAAACACAAATGGAAACAGTACCTTCCATTTACTGAACATTTTGATAATAGCATTTAGTGTAAGATTGCTGTTATTCATCTGTAAAATGTGAGGTAATAACAATGTTGTGCTAGTATTTGGGGAAGGAAGAGTCCACAGAATATACCCATTTGCAGGAAGATATAGACATTGAGAAGCAGTTAATTCTTAGTGGTTGTCTGAAATTTCTGCTTTCTATTGAAAAACAACTATTTATTCAGCTGTTTATTTATACCGATGATATACCAGTCACTTTACAAGTATTTTGTTTAAACTAGGAAACTATTCTTCCCATTTTACATATGGAGAAATATAGGCTGAGGAAGCTGAATGACTACCTCAGTTCCTTTGGAGGGTCAGTCAGAGCTGGGATTTGAATGCACTACTGTCTGGCCTTTTGCTTTTTCCTCATACTGTACAAATTTTCTAAAGCACTACACTGGCCCATTTCAGATACTTACGCCACTGGTTAGTATTACTCTTTATCAGTACTGCCCAATAGAAATATAATGTGAGTCATATGAAATTTAAAAATTTCCAGTAGTACATTAAAAAAGTAAGAAGAAGCCAGTGGCATTAACTTTAATAATATATTTTATTTAAAATAATATATCCAAAGTATTATAATAGATTGAAGTATTCAACATGTGGTCAATATTTTAAAAATTTATTAATGAGATATTTTACTTTATTAATGCTTTGAAATATAATGTGTATTTTACACTTATGCACATCACAATTCAGTCACTAAATTTTCATCAGAAATACTTGAACTGTGTTTAGATTTCATACAATTTTACAGATGAAAAAGTGGATCCACATACCCAAGTTGTTCCAAATATATTTAAAGATTCTCTAATAATACAACTGAATACCAGCTTTTAAATTTAGATTTAAATTAATAAAGTTAATAAACCTAAAAATTCAGTTCTTTGGTAGCCCTAGGTACATTTCACATGCTCAATAGCCATGTGTGACTAGTGGCTACCATTTTGGATAAGTCAAAAAGACTGTGGGAGAAAATACTCCTACCTTTGTGGCCATATGAATGTATCCTTTTGCTTTAAAGCAGATAACTAGCCACCAATCAGTCCAATAAATAGACATCAGGATGTGGGTATTTCTCTTGCTCCTCTTCTCCAAAACAGGAGTTAATATTGTATGGGAAGTTGTGGGCTCTCGTCATAGGTGTCTAAGTAAAAAATATCTCTGACTTCTTCCTAATCTTCTGAGGTTTCTGATGGTGGGAGCTTTTGAGAATGAAGGTAAAAGTATTTAATTCTCAGAACTGGAGTATCCATTTTTATTACTAGAAGTCTAGGTGACTGTTCTCAGACCAAAATTAGGGATTAAAAAAATTGCATGGGCCGGCCCCATGGCTTAGCAGTTAAGTGCGCGCGCTCCGCTACTGGCGGCCCGCGTTCGGATCCCGGGCGCGCCCGGACGCACGGCTTCTCCGGCCATGCTGAGGCCACGTCCCACATATAGCAACTAGAAGGATGTGCAACTCTGACATACAAGTATCTACTGGGGCTCCGGGGAGAAAAAAGAGAGGAAAAAAGGAGGAAGGTTGGTAATAGATGTTAGCTCAGAGCCAGTCTTCATCAGCAAAAAGAGAAGGATTAGCACGGATGTTAGCTCAGGGCTGATCTTCTTCACCAAAAAAAAAAAAAAAATTGCATAAGAACTGACGGGGAAAAGAAGATCTTAAATGATGGGAGAGAAAATAATGTTGGAATTAATATGGCTTAGTAGAAGTTTTCATCATGATTGTTCTTTCCTAGACTGGTCTGCTCTAGACCTGGAGGCCACTTGGTCACGGCTGGTTTATGCCTGAGTTAATGTGCTA